GGGGGGGGGGGGGGGGGGCGTGCTTAAAGTGGGCCACAACGCGATACGGAGGCAAGGCAAGTCAGTCGCACTGTGGCCATGAAACACATAAAACACACTGGCCGACCTGCCACCCCGGCTACCCCTCTCACCAGTGGAGGGGTCCTGCTTGACCTTGCCGCCGGACAGGGGCGCACCGCGGTGGGGGCACCAGTCATCCACGCACAGGACCTGCGCTCAAATGAGGAGGTGGCAATGTTGGGGGTGAGGGTGCTGGCAGTGTAAGCAAGCGAGGCCGACGGGGGCCAACGCCTGCTGTTGCAGAGCGGCTGGTTGCGCCACAAGGCTTGCAACCCCGGCCCGGGCGCACCTCGCCAGTCTCCTGGTCCCTGAACAGTGTGATGCGCCCCCCCAGGATGTCCACACCCAGGGGCGTGTCATCGCCGAGGTCAGAAGAGATGGCGGCGGCGTACCAGAAGTTCTTCAGGTATGACTGCGTCCAGGAACAACATGGATGGGACCGAGGTGTGTGTGTGTGTGTCTGTGTGTGTGTGTGTGTGTACGCGCGTGCGCACGCACAGTCATCACAGGGACGTGGGGGGACAGGAGGGAACCCAGAGGGCAAGTAATGGAAGGAAATAAATCTCACGTGCACAAGCTGCCATGACCGTGCTGCGCCGTGCCCAGCCCACAGCCCTCCCCCGCAAGGGGTCAGCGTGCGAGGACCCCACCTTGCGGTCAATCAGCTCCTTCTCGCGGCGGCTGAGGCCGCCAGGGGCGAGGACAGCGGGGTCCAGCTGCCCGGGCTTGAGCCCCGCGGCGCGCCGGCGCTCTGCCAGTGCGGCGGGGCTGCGCGGGGTGGGTTGCGCCTTGGCCTTGGTCGCGGGCTTGTCCTCGTCGTCAGGGCCGCCGGGGCCGCTGGGGATGCGGGGACCGCGCGCGGCCTCGGCCTCCAGCTCCTCGCGAATGCGCTCGAGGGTGTCTGCGCCGCCATCGCGGAATGCCAGGGGCGCGCCGCCGGCCTCGGCGGCGCGCTGAGCGACAGGGGCAGCAGAGGCCGCAACCGTGGCGCGGTTGCGCGAGGGCGCGCTGACCGAGTAGAGTGCCTTCTTGATGGCGCCGAGCTTGAGCGGCACAAGGCGCTTGGTGAGGGTGGCCATGTGGCGGATGGTGCGGTCGGCCTTCTTGTTGTCATCGGGGTAGCGGTTGAGCACCGACAGGATGGCAATGGCCTCGACCACATAGAGCAGCACCCAGCCACCCCTGAGGACGACGTAGGCGAGCAAAGGAATCACAAATGAAGGTATGCGAGGTTGACCATGGCTCATCGAGAGGATTGACGTTGATGGCCCGGCTGCAGGCATGGCCCGCAGTGTGGGCCATGGGCACGAGGCACTGCACCCTAGTCCGGTAGGTCGTTGCACTGTGGCGCACTGGCTTTCGCTTCGAGTGCATGCGCCCCACATTTCCTCCCCCCCTTCTGACTCACACAGCGGCAATATGGTCCCACACGAAAAGTGGTGCAAACTCAGGCAGCGAAGACGGCAGCACGTCTGCAAGGGAGGTGGGGGTCGGGATGAATGGTTGAAACCCTGCCTGTTACAGGTCAAATTGGCAGCATATTTAACCACAGGCGCGTCAACCACAGGCGCATGGTTGGCAACATGCCAGCCAAGATGAGCGCGCAGCATTGCTGAAGCGCACAGCCGCCGGCTTGGCTGTCTCTGATGAGCGATCGCAGGTCAACAACCAGCGCCGAACTGCGCCCTGCGAGCACATGCGGGGACGGACTGCGCACCCATGATCTCTGAGCCGGACGACGCCGCGAGGTCAAAAAACTTGAAAAGCACGTGGGTCGTCTCCACCAGGGCGCCGGCACCCACGCCCAGCAGGAAGGAGCGCAGCAAGGCGTCCAAAAAGTGGTCGCCACCATCCTGCTTTTGCTCGACAGTCGCGACACGCGCTTGCGACGTGGCGCCCTATGTGCATCAGGGCACAGATCAGGCACAAGTTAAAGCAAGAAAGGGCGGGGAAGAGTGAGCCGCATGCGTTTTCGGGGCCGAAATTATTCGAATGTGCCCGGGCCACATAAGCTCGCAGGCGTTGCGCGCCAAAACCTGCCCACCCCGCGTCCCTGAGTGTCCGGCGGGCTCGCGTAATAGTTGCAGGTTGAAATTCATACGGGCGCCTAAGACGCACCTCGCGGCGAGCCTGGGCCACGCGTGCAACGAGCCTGGGGCCCCGGACCCCGAGGTGTGGGGCTGGCCGGGAGGCCCGCGCGACCGCGCTGTAGTTCCTGTACATGAGCATGATATGCGGGCTGTGGGCGCTGCTGGCCTGTGCTGTGTCAGTGGTGATCGGGAATGGCACTGTCAGCAGCGGGCTCCGTGCATGGACAAGGCTTGCGTGCTTGGATGGGGCTAAGAGGTTCACACGAAATACAAGATTTGTTCTGAGAAAGGGGCGGGCAACAATACGTGCTGTGGGGGGTCGCCGACGTGGTTGCGCACACACCGCAGGGCGGCTTCTTCACACCTCGGAGCGCACAGTCACAGCCGCCGCGTCGGTCGAATGACGCACAAGGGCCATCGGTGGCAGTAGGCACCTCCCCTTCACCCATCTGCGTTGAAGCCGTTATCATCACTGTGACAAACAACGATCGGCCCAGCAACTGAGCTTGCCGTCACCACTCCTTGTCGCCACCCACCTCTGCAGCACTAATGGCTGCTATCCCTAAAAAGCGCGCTGGAGGGGGGGTTGCACCGCCCCGTGCTGACGAGCGCCTTTCTGACCCGCTTGCTGGGTTCTGCTACGCATCCGGCTCCATCATTGGGGTGCGAATGGGCGGGCCTGCTTGTCCGATGATCGAAAAGAGTTGCGAAAGCAGGCACCCTTTGCCTCACCCCTGGCACCTCCAGAAACTTCAGCGGCGCTCTGCCATGCCCTCACAATGATATTGCCACGTTCCCCTAGGACGTCACGCACGGCCTGGCCCAACCCCGGCGGATGCAGGAGCCCGGCCCCCTGCATTCTTGCCGGCCATATGTGCCTGCTGCGGCACGCCTTACACGCAGTCCGGTTCCCTGGCGTCCAAGACATCGCAAGATGCATCAGACTGAAACATGCGTGTGTGTGTTTCACTCTTCACAAAGGTGAAAGACAATTTATTTTCGCCCAACAATTTGTTGGCACTGCTGTATGCGTCCCTGTTGCTGCAGCCGCCCTGGCACCCACGAGCAGACACAGAATTTGGCGCTTGCTCCTAGGCCAAACTTTATGCCCCTATCCTGCTCGAGGCCGTGTACACCCCAGGTGTGGCACGGACGCCCTGCTCTTGGCTGGTGATCGCTGTTTTCACTCAACACCGCCCGTCACGTCGTCACGTCAACCTCACAGTGTGCTTTGTGTGCTGTTCACACCCAAAAACATTTGTCAGGGCTGCGTAATCCCAATAGGTGTTCAGTTGTGTTTGATATTAGGCTGCCACCCCAGCATACATGACCGTTCTTGAAGGCATACGCTCTGGCCCCCACTGCGCCGTCCACGGTCTGTCGGATTCCGCGCCGCAGCGCACCCCCTCCCTCGACGGTTGGCACGCAACCACACCTTGTTACAGCTTGACTACACCCCAACCAGCCGCTCCACCGATGCAGGGCCAGGGTTGCCATTGCTGCTGCAGTTCGCCGAGCTTGGCCCTGAGCAGCTATCACTGCTTCCGCTGCCGTTGCTGCCGTGGGTGTCTTGCGGCGCGGACTGCGAGGAGAGCACTGCCCCTTCATCCAGGACCAGGCTGATCTCCGCCGACACACCGATTATGCTAGAACCATTGAGGGCAGCGGCCACGCCATTGTGCTGCGCCCTGTGCCGGCCACGGGGCCGAGTGCTGCCGCCTCTCCGCATGGCTGCTTGTCTTCTGCTGCTGTCATTGCTGCTGTCTTGATGAGCGGGGCCACTGCTGCTGGGGCCATGGTGGGTGGTGGCGTTTGCGTGCACGGCCCCTTCAGGGCCGACCGCATGCCGCTGCCGCAGCTTCCTGTCAACCACCCCTGCAGGCTCAGCGCCGCCTGCACTGCCGTGTGTGTCGCTGGCTCGCCCCATGCCGAGTAGCGCCTGCAGCCGCCCCGCCGTGTACTCCCCGCCCTGGTGCTCCAGCTCCCCGAGGCGCTCCAGGGCACGGCCCAGGAATTCATCGACACGCGTCAGCCGCGCGTCCGCGTTGTGGCGCTGCAGGGCGCGCACCAGCATGGCGACGTCCGCGGCGCTCATGGCGGCCAGCTGGTTGTCGCATGCGGCGACGCAGCTGTAAAGCCACGCAGGAGGCGGTCCCATCTGCAGCTCCACCAGTGCCCAGACCAGCGTTGACAGGTCACGGCCACTCATGGCCCCCAGCCTGTGGAAGCTGGCCTGGAGCAGGTCTTCGCGCAGGTCACGAGGGGCACCCGCTAGGGGGGGTGGCGTGGGCCGCTGCTGCTGCTGCTGCTGCTGCTGCTGCTGCTGCTGCTGCTGTGACTCCATATCAATTTGCTGTTGCAGCTGCTGCTGCAGCTGCTGCTGCTGCTGCTGCTGCTGCTGCTGCGGCTGCTGCTGCTGCGGGGGCGGGGGCGGCGACCTGGTTCTCTGCTGGCGCTGCGCCCACACAGCCGCGTGCAGCTGGCTGAGCCGCGCGAGCGCGAGGGCAAGCATGGCCAGGTTGCGCGGGCCATACGCGCTGAGCTGCTGCTCCGCGCTGCGGTGCTCACCCAGCAGGGCACCCAGCACTGCGGCGGGCGGCAGCATGCGCAGCTCTGCCAGAGCCGACAGCAACGCAACCACCTCACGCGGCTTGAAGTCGCCCGCCACGGCCTGCACCTGGGCGCAGGTGGGTGCAAGGTTTGAAAGTTTTGTGTCGGTCCTTGAAAGGTTGGCAAGATCATGTGAGGCAAACAGCAGCTGAACACAACGCAAGCGCTTGAAAGAAATCAATAACCAAGCGCCCGGGGAAAAGCCGGCACAGCACAGGTCGAGGCCACGGCTCCGTGCAGCCCACCTGAGAGAAAAGGAGGCCCGCCCAGCCGGCCGGCGGCACCCAACCGAGGCGCGCAAGGCCCCAGAGGCCGATTGCGAGGTCGCCTGCTCTGACGTCAGCCAGGCCATAAAACAGCTTGGACGCGCAGCGCCGCAGCAGGCCCTCCCCCGGCGCCAGCCGCAGCCGTGCGCACGCCCAGAGCAGCTTGGTCACCTGCGCCATGGTCATGGCGGGCACCAGCCGGGCCGCTCGCGAAAGCAGCGCCGCAGCAGCCGCCTCATTCGGTGGTGCACCGCCGGGCCCCGCAAGTGCGTGCAGCACAACCGTTACGTCTGCGGCGTGCGCTGCCGGCAGCGTGTCGACGACCCGCTGCAGCAGCGCGCCGCGCTGCTCGGTGTCAAGGCCCCCTGCAGGCCCCCAAAGCTGCTGCGCCGCCCAGAGCGTCATTGCCACGCTGTGGGGGCTGGCCGCTGGCAAACGCTGCTCCACAGCCCGCCACGCGCGCTCCCGCCACTCCTCGCCGGGCGTCACCCCCAGCCGCGCGGCCGTCCACAGCAGGCGTGCAGCTGCAACGTCGTTTGCATGTGGCAGGCGGGACTGTGACGCCGCCAGCCAGGCAGCCGCCCACTCGGGAGCCGGCGCCAGGCGCAGCAGCACCACGGCCCAGCCGACGTCTGCCAGCTCCTGGGGGGAGAACGCGCCCATCGCCGCAGACGACGCAGACAGCAGCGCGGCCTGCAGCCGCGGCGGCGGCGGCGCCCTCAGTCGCGCGAGCGCCCAGGCGACGTTGGCCACGCCTTGGGGCGTCATCTCTGCAGCGCGCTGCGCTGCGGCGTCCATGAGGCGCGCCAGCAGTTCGCGATCACGCATGTCGAGGGCTGCCGCACTGTGCAGCGTGTTTGCTATGCACCGCTCCCCGTAATGGGGCAGCTGCGCCAGCACCAGGTCGCGCAGCGCCGGCAGGAGCGCCGGCAGAAGCATCATATCTCGTGGCGCCAGCCGACCGCGGCCGACGAGGGCTGCTGTGCGCACCATGAGTGCGTTTGTGTGCACGGGGTTCAAGCACCCTGTGGGTTGAGGGGGTGCACGGCACTGGGGACTTGGGGAGCAGGAACCAGGCAACGAGGGGCGCAGGCACTGTGCGTTTGAGGCGCCACAGGCTGGAGCTCTGGGCGCTCACAGTGAGCGGGGATTAGCTGGTCAGCAGGTGAGCAGCGCAAGGGCAGTCCACCAGAGACGGGCACCAGGGCTGAAAGGACGACAAGACCAGCAGCCCTGTGCAGCGCGCTACGGCGGGCAGGTGGGTGGCCCAGGCGCCCTCACCTTGGTACTGCACCAGCACGTCCCGCAGCGCCCCCAGGCTGGGAGCGTAGTGAATGCTGGTCGTCAGGCGCCGCTGGAAGCCCTCCACCTCAACGAGGGGGCCGCGCGCATGCAAAGCTCCGCGCCGTTGACGGCCGCTCGGGGTAGTGGCCTGCATATGTGCAACATTGGAGGTTGATGAAAGAAATTTTTGAAAAAGTTGGAGGTTTTGTATCGCAGAGGAGGTACCACGCAACTCCACGACGCCCCTCGGCACCCATCGCTGCTCAAGGCCGTTTGCTCATGGCAATTTTGTCGAACGGTGTGCAGGCGGCGGCCGATCATATCCGGCGTCGTTGGGTGACCGACAGGCCAAAACCTCTTGTACTCTGGGCAGGTTGCGGCTGGCGAGCCAGTCCCTGCCCTGGCTCGGACAAAACAGCGACGGCGTGCCCGTGCAGCCAAACAGTAGCGCACCTGCGCATGGACCGCCAGGCGCATCCGCTGCGCGGGCCACAATGTGGCCATACCCTGAGGTTCGGCGGCAATGGATTGATAATTCATCGACATATGGACGGGCGCCCGACCCTGTGCGACGCCATGCTCGCAGAGGCTCACCGATGCTGCTGCTGACGGACGCGCGCGACGAGCCACGCCTGGACAGTACATTTATGTCAGTAGCGCAAATCGATTGCAATCACATCTAGCTTGCGAAAGCGCACTAAGTGGAGTGCACTGGGCGAGCGCCGCTGGCCTGCGGGCGTCCCTTATGTGCCGCAATGCCCAAGTGTTCTATAAAGTAAATGTGCACGTGCGTTGCGCCAGTAGCGTGCATGTCATTGCGTACGGTATGATCTCGACGAAGTCGTGTTATTTTTGCCTCGTGGCTTTCAACGGCCGGTAGCTCTTGCCCCAAGCTCTCAACGAGGCATACAAATGCTCCTTTCGGAAAGGTTTCCCTTGGCGCCTGTTGGTCGGTCACGGCGCGTTGCCGCTGGGCGGCTGCCATTGTGCGCACGCGCGGCCGGGCGGCATGCCGGCACCAATATACCAGCGGGCAGGGGCGAGCAAGCTGCACACGCTGCCAACGCTGAGTCGCTGGGGACTGACCCCACCGGCAACGCTCATGCAGCCCAGCCCAGCACCAGCAGCATTAGGGACTCCCCTGACGGCAGCAGCACCCACTTTGACGCGCTGCTGGGCGAGCTGGCAGAGTGGGTGAACGCCTACGGCAGCTGCCATGTGCCCAGCAACGTTCACGACTGCCGCTCCCTTGCGCGCTGGGTGCAACGTGTGCGGCGACTCGGCAGCAGCCGCGACAGCCCCGCCCTGACGGGTGAGCAGCGCAGAGCACTGGACGCTCTGGGCTTTGTGTGGAAGCCCCACCAAGTGAGCGGGGCCGTGGGGCCACGGGGCCGGGGCTCACAGTACGCGGGGAGGAAGAGCAGGTTGCACCACAACCACTAGTCCTGGGGACGCCAGTCAAGCGCCAGCCGTGTGGCAAGACGCAGCGAAGCCCTTCAGGGAACCTGGCCGCCAATGTCAAAGCGAGGCAGGGGCACACAGCTCTGCGGCCAGGCGCCAATAAAGTGTTGTGGGTGCCGCGCAACTCCGCAGGCGGACGCCACGTGGCACTCGTTCTACCACCGCGCGCGTGCCTGGTCGGAGACGCGGGGCGGCGTGGTGGAGCTGCAGGGGCTGGCCCAGGCGGCAGAGGAGCAGGACACTGCCGCCCTCCAGGCTAGCCAGCAGGCGCAGAGGGAGCGGCAGAGGCGCACCAGGGCAGAGCAAGACAGTCGGCGGCAGCAGGAGCAGCCTGAGGAAGGTCAGTGGGTGCCCCAAAACCAAGGCAGCGCCCACGCTGCGCCTGGCACTCCTACTGCTGTGCTGCAGGCATGCGAGGAGGCTCCAGAAACAGCCGCACCGCTCAGCCAGCCGATGGCGGTGGCATTTTCCGCCGAAGCTTCTGGTGGCGGTGACCCGCTGGCGTCTGTTGATGGTGAGACACGTGCCCTTGTGACGTGGCTGCGCCGCCAGCTGGAGCTGTACCGTGGCCTGCGGCTGTCGGCGCTCAAGGTGCAGCTCCTGCGCCGCCTGGGCCTGAGGATGCGGCGACAGGCCGGCGGCCCAAAGCCGCAAGAGCTGCACCCAGGCCTGCGCTTTGCACAGGCCCCAGGGCCGGGGGTTCCTTCCTCGGTGGCGGCGCAGCGTGTGCTGCAAGTGTCGGCGGTGACGAGCAATGGGATTCGCGTCGCGGCGGCGCTATCCCGCCAGCTGCGTGACGGGGAGGACATGTCGCAGCTGCTGGGCTTGGTGCCAGGACAGCAGCAGCAGCAGCAGCAGCAGCAGCAGCAGCAGCAGCAGCAGCAGCAGCAGCAGCAGCATCCGTCTGACGACAGTCAAGCAACCAGAATCGGGGCACAGAATGCCCCGCCCATTGGGGCCGCCTGGGCTTTGGAGGAGCGCCGATTCATGCTGCTTCTGGCCCAGCTGCAGCGGTGGTATGACAACTACGGCCGTGGGGCGCCCGTGCCCTCAACTGCAACCTGGGAGCGGCCACACCTGGTGGCCTGGACGGTCTGCCTGAGGGAGGTGCATGCCTGGCAGGAAACGTATCAGCCTTGGGAAGGGGATGGGGACGAGGACGAGAAGCAGCAGCAGGCGCGGCAGCAGCAGCAGGCGCGGCAGCAGCAGCAGGCGCAGCAGCAGCAGGCGCGGCAGCAGCAGCAGCAGCAGCAGAAGCAGCAGCAGCAGCAGCAGCAGCAGCAGCCCCTGTCACACGATCACCAGCAGCAGGGGCAACAGCAGCATCCGAGGCAGGAAATGCAGGATAAACGTGCCACAGGCAGCGCCGCAAGCCAGCAGGGCAAGCAGCTGGCAGCAGGCAGAGCGGTCAGCTGGAGGACGCTGTGTGATGGGGCAGGCGGGACCACGATCTCTGCACAGGCCCCACCCCGGCCCCTGCCGCTGCAGCAGTGGCACCGCAAGGAACTGGCACGCTCGGGATTCAGCTTTCACCCAGAGGTGCAGGGTTAAGGGCTAGAGCGCAGAGCAGCAGCTTGGGCATGCAAGCCAGGAGGCTGGGAGCCTCATCATTGGCGAAGTTGTGCGGCCGCCAGTGGAGACGCTCGGCACCAATGCGCTCACATTCATTATCACATGCTTTGACCTCCCCCTCCCGCACCCTGCAGGACCCCGATCGCCTCGCCTGGCACTCTGCTTTCCACCGGATGCGGCGAGCCAAGGCTCGGGGCGGCTTTGGCGCCCTGCAGGTGTTCAATGGTTTGCAGGGCGGCCTGAAGCATGAGGGCCAGCAGGAGCACCAGCAGGGCGCTTCAACACAGCAGCAGCGCCTCAGCAGCGCTAACGACTACGGCGGTGATGGGCCCAGCAGCTGTAGCGTTGCAGGCGACGGCAGTCCTGGTGCCAGCCTGGGGAACGCGGAGGGCGGCTACGGTGATCTGGCAGAGCTGCTGGGGTGGCTGCAGGAGCAGCGCCACATCGCAGCTGAGGGTCGTCTTGGCGGCGACAGGCGGCGACTGCTTGTACGATTGCTGGGGCCACGATGGGCCACAAGTCGCGTGGTGTAAGGTTTATGCAAAACCCATTTACAAATGCATCATATGAGTGCAGTGCAGGACAAATGTATGATCGTGAAAACGAATGGACTCAGTTAGGAGAACGCGTATTCTTCCAAAGAACCCTGTTGCTGTCACGCTCCTGGCCAGGCCACAAGCAGACGAAGAAATATGACATCAAGCGGGAAAGCAGGCCATGCATGCGTGGTCTATGTGATATCACGCGTGCATAGGTTTTCAGTTGAGGCTCTCAGATTTTGCCCTACAAGCCAGAGATGAGCCTGAGTGGCTCCGAAAGCGGGCGAGCTTGGGACTCTTTGACAATTCTTATCTGGAGAATACTGCCAGTTGACCCAGCCTTGACTGACAAATGATTGCGCGGATGGACGGCAGCTGTGGGCACCGGAAGTCATTTGGTTGCAGACAACACGCACAAAATTGTTACACAAGTGGTCCAAGCAGCAGTGCATTTTGCGTCAAGAGCAGACGGCGGCAGAGCCTATGTGTCATCAAGGAGCGGTTGGTGTGACAGCAGTACAGGGTTCGGCCGACCACGTGCACCAACAGTCTCCTGAGCGCCCAGACTCCAGGACAATTAAAATCGCGTTAGCCCACAAGTTGTAGTCCATAACGAGGTGAGCAATTGCGAGCCTGCTTAGGGCCTGAGGTTGTGGGGCGGAGGCGTGTCGAGTGACACGCCACAACGGCAGTGCAGTGGCAGGTGCGGTTCCACTGGCCAGCATGCACTCCGCGCCAGCACAGCAGCTTGCTGCGAGCAGGCTTCCGTCTATTTTACAGACATTAGGGTGACAGCCGGCCCCTTGTCCAGCCAGTCCAGGTGCAGTGGCTGGTACGTGATGCGTTCTGCATGGAGCGCGCCCAGTGTGTGGTTACGGGGACGATACCGTGACAAATGGTGTGAATTCCAGCTTAAATATATAGCCGTGGCGCATGCAGCAGGCCGTGTTGAAGGCCCTCCCAGAAGGCCCGCAGCAAACCGCTGCCAAGCTCCGCTGTTGCCCGCTGCACATATGTGCGCGGAGGCTGCCGCGCCTCAGGGGAATATGGATGCTTGACTTGCACACGCCGCGCCCAACAAGGTGCGCGTCCCGGGCCCTGGCCAGCCACGCTCAGCTCAAGCGCGGCAGGCGGTCCAGGTTGCTGCCGCAGCTGGCGCCCAGGTTGCTGCAGGCCTGGCCCCCTTGAGAAGAATGGTGCAAAGCCGCGTCCAACAGCACAGGCATGCGGCAAGTATATCGTGCAGCCCTTGGCGGCGCCATGCGGGTGGCGGTCGGCCGTGTGCAGCACCTGCCGCAGGTGCACTGGGCGCGCATGTGAGCCAAGCAAGGGGGGTGTCCGTGCTATCAGTGTGCGTGGCGCGAGGGACAACCAAGGCGATTGATGGCTATGTGGACAAAATTGAGCGACAACAGCCCTGTTTGGGCTGCTAGTGCAGGGGTTGGCCATGGTGCAGTAGGATGCCTTGGTCGTCCCCAAATCAGGGCAGCCGGCCAAGTCACTGGATGTCAGCATGCAGCTCACCAGCCTGGCCTGCCACGACTTGGTCCACCACAAGCAATCGGTGGTGCCTTGCTGCATGTTGAGAGCACTGCAACAACAGTCCAGCCTACTGCAACCGGGTGCTTGTGAGCACCAGAGGCCTCTGGGCCATCCGAACTACAGCGTACCTACTGCACCTGCCAGGCAGTGCTTGCTCAAGAGCCAGGAGCTGTGAGCACCACTGCTCCCCTCCTTCAACCTGAGATCCTGTTGGGAGCCGGCCGCGCTGTGAGCACAGCGTGGCAGGCTTCGCGAATTGATGGTTCTGTGCGGGCCACTCAAACCGCTCACGAGTCACGGCTTGACTTGCGAGTGCTCACAACTGACTGGCCCGCACAGACCCCACGGTGCTGCGTCCACTGTTTGGCAGCCTGATGCAATCGACCCCACGCGTTGAAGCTGCCCTTCGCATCGCGCATACAGGGGTTATGCGCCATCAACCTGCTACTGCTGTTGCGGTTGCTGCTGCTGCTGCTGTCATTACGATATGGGGGAGATCCAAAGATAAAAAAACTGGCTTGTCACCTGGCGTCCCGCCGTCGGTCACCGCGCAGCAGAGCATACAAACACCATTATGTCGGGGGCCGGTCACGACAGCCAAGTGCAAGTGCACCAGTTGCTCGCCCCAGTACTCTGTAGGCCCACTTGTGCACCATGAGAGCGTGCGCTACTGTATGAGAAACGGTCGATGACATTGGCGCATGTGTGACCATCAATGGCGACCACAGTCGCGAACCAGCCAGCGCCGCCAAAGGAGAGGAAGTGCTCGTTGTGGGCCGAGCTGCATGCAAACAAGTCGTTGAAGCCGTATTAGAGCGGCCCAACTTCGTGATCACACCACGCAGGATTAGCTGAGCTGCAGCGGACAAGCCACGCGAAGCATTGACACCGCTCCGGCGTGCAAATTCGCGTGTCATCTAGACGTACTACGCTTGCACACTGATGGCCGCTGCGAATTTCAAACACCCGCTAGGGTCGGATGATGCGGATTGCTGATGTCACGTCGCGGCTCCCCAATTCTGCCGCAAATGTTTATACACACCGTACACAGCGGTAAGAGAAAATAATAAAGGCAGGCGAAGTGTCATTATAGCACAGCTCGTCCCTGTGCAATGCAGTTTGCTGTGCGGGCCAGTCAGTTGTGAGCACTCGCAAGTCAAGCCGTGACTCGTGAGCGGCGCCCGCAGGGACGCCCCAGCTCGGCGCCCTCTCTGGTGCCCCTGGTTGGCAGCATGGCGTTGCGTCCGCATCCATTGCGGGCGGCCCCTGTCGGTGCGGGCCTGTCGGGATCACTGCTCATGCCGGAGCTGCTGCCGGCTGTTGGGGCACGGTCCGAGGCCGCCGACGTTGAGCGCGCCGTCACTGGCCTGGACAGCTTCATCACCAAGGTGCGCCGGTCCAGGGCGTTGGGGAGACCGGGGTTTGTGCTTGCTGGACGGGGTGGTGCCCGCTGGTTGTTTTCGAGCTGGCCGCTGTGGTAGGGTTTTGACGCGTCTGCTGGTCCGCAGCCACACACTAGGGCGACGGCTCACTCATTTTGGAGCCTCTGTGCCAGGGCACCCAGGCAATTCGGAGCGCTTCCCATTCTCAACCCCCCCTTACCGCTAGCATTGCCATAACGGAGCTCTGCAACGCCGCCGCACCTCCCAGCAGTGCCTCGTAAAGCGTGAGAAGGCCGCCAGAGCAGCACCGCCATCCTCAATGGCGCTCGGGCTGGGGCCCAGCCGCGACGCGCTGCTCCCGCCCTGTTCAGGGGCCCTCGGGCACGGAAACGCGCAAAGTGAGGCTCAGGAGGTCCTAATCACACAGCAAATGCCTGCAAGCAGCCAGCAGCCCCGGCCGCCTCAGCAGCCCCTGCAGCCCCCGCGGCCCCCGCAACACTTGCAGCATCAGCAGCGCCTGGTCGCCCAGGCTGCAGTCCGCCCAGCAGGCCTTGGATCAGCAACGTACTGTGGCAAATGGGGCGGTGCTGAGGACAGCAGCAGCTTTAGTGATGATGATGACGAGGAGGACGATGACGACACGGCGGTGCAGCGGGCAGCCAAGCGACCCCGCGGCTCGAGACCACGCAACAAGGCCCAGACAAGTGCCGAGAGGTGGGACAAAGACAGTGTGGCGGTGTGCAGTGTGTTGCTGAAGCCAGCTGATTACCTTGTGTTGGCATCTGTTGTGCACAGGCAGGCATGTTGGTTGTCACATCGTGAATCGAGACGCAAGGTGGCTATGGGTGTTTTGTGGGGCCAGGGACGGTGGCGACTACACTGTTGGGTTGAACGTGATTCTAACAAGGCGATCACCATCCTGCTTCCCTCCACCTTCCGACAGGCGCGAGCGCAACAGGCTGGCAGCGCGCAAGAGCCGCAACAAGCGGGCGCAGAAGCAGGCCGAGGTGGTGCAGACGCTGGAGCAGGTCACGACGCGGCTGGACGAGACAGCCCGCCGCCTGGCTGCCGCCGAGGAGGCCGCTGTGCGGGATGCAGCCGCACGCGCACGGCTGCAAGGGGCGGTGGCTGCGTGGCTGCAGGTCAGCGGCAGCGTGAGCGCCGTCAGTGCTGCAGCAGCAGCTGGCTGCGAGGCAGCGCACGAAGTGCTGCAAGCCGCTGCGGCGGCCGGTGGTGCCTCTATCAATGGCAGCGCCTTGAACACAGCCCCCACGCCTGGGGCGGCGGAAGCTGTGGCCTGTAGCTCTCTGGCGCCGGGCACGACCCGCCCCATGCGCCTGCCACCAGCCGCCCTCATCTCCCCCTTTGCAGCAGCAGCAGGCGCTCCTGCTGAGGCGCCCGCGCTGGGACCGGGCGGGCCCTCTGCATCGCTGCTGGCCCCCATCACGCCGCGCGCCGGTACTGCTGCCACGCCTCCGGGGGCGGCAGTCAAGGGCGAGCCAGACCCGTCCCCGCGAGCCACATTTGGCGCGGGGCAGCATGCCACGGCATCGCGCCGCGCGGCGGCGGACGAGGCATGCGACGGCGCCCACGGCCTTGCGGCCACAACTGCGCTCCTACTCACAGATCCCCTGGCGGCAGCCTGCTCCGGTGGCAGCTCACGGGACGCAGCGCTCGTGACGTCAGGTGTGCCCCTTTTCCTTCAGCCCTGCTCAGATAACCTGGGTGTCAAGAGCCGTGTGGCCATGCTCATGGCCAGCGCCGAGTCGCTGCTATCGTTCCAGCACAGGCAGCAGCATGCTGGGGCTGCCCCGGCCCCCGCAGCCGCCCCAGCGTCCGCGTCTGCGCCAGCGGGCACAGCCCTTGTCCACAGCTTGACTGCAGCAGCCGACAGCTTCGCCACTTCACAGGGCGCAGGCAGCAGCAGCAGCGCTGGCCGCAGCATTGGCAGAACCCCTTCGCCAACCAGCACGCAGATGCCGCAGCCGCGCAAGGTTGCAGCAGCATGCCCCGGCTTGCTGTTGACAGATGCTGACAGCACGCCTCACAGCTCTGCCCTGCAGGACCTTGGCAGGGCTGCTGCAGCCGACCCGGTCGTCATGGAGGAGGTTATGGCAGCCAATCAGCAGCCACCCCAGGCCCTCGGCACCACCCTGCCCCCGGTCGCCCCTCTCGACGGCGTGAGCGGGATGGGCCTGGGCGCAGGGCTGTCACGGGGGGCCAGTGAGATGCGGCTGGACAGCGGCTCGCTGCCCCTGGGCCTGGGCCTGGGCCTGCGGCTGCCCAGTGAGCTGCTGCGCCTCAACGCGGAGCTGGAGGCGCTCGCACCGGCGGCAGCGACACCTGTTACGGGCGTTGCACCTGCTGCGCCCATGGCAGTGGACGATCCAGCCGCAATTGCGTTGGCGGCTGTTTCCGCGCCAGCTATGGCGCCTTGCTGGGGCTGGGCTGGGTATACCGCTGACGGGCTGCTGGGGTGCCCAGGGCAGGTGGGTGTCCTTGACACCGCCTCCCTGACCCGGGTCAATATGGCTACCGAAATGGTGCCCTCCACCGCAGTGGCCGATGCTTTCATCGCGGCAGCGGTGGAGCCCCCCCTGCTGTCTCCTCCATCGAAGCACCCTAGCTGCCGCCTGACCTCTTGCCGGCATTAACGCTGCGCCTGCACTAGGATGACTGTTTTGCGGCGATGGAGAGGGCCATGGTAGGCAGTCTTGTTAGAGGGCCTTTTGCCGGCACGTGCGCGCTTGAGCGCAATCGCGGTTGTGGCTTTCTGACAAGTGACAAGGCTGCATTGGTCACATGTGGCCTTGCAGCAGCCTGCAGGACTTGGTTGCCAGGGCTCTGAGTTGGAAAGTGCAACGGTTGTTGTCACATGATTTGACAATTGAACACGAATCTTGATCTCAGCTGGTGCATTGCCAGCAGAATGTCGCATCGCCACTTTGGTTGGCCGGCTTGACTTTGAGTGGGCTAGCGCAAGTCTAATTTTGGATGTTACCGGTACGAAGGGGTAGATGAGGGTGACTGCATAGTTATAGAACGCCTATCTGGCTTGCATGGGCCGCACTCGCACAGGTGGTACTTCACACTGTCTCTGCCATGCAGGACTGCATTTTGCCTTCTCAGGCATCACGCTTGTTGACTGCATGCATTCTTCCTCCATTCCAGACTGGCCTTTGAAATGGCCGCGTTTGATGGTTCTGCAGTGCTGCTTGTGCCCATCACAGCTGACAGCCCAGGGGCTGTGACCCGGAGGTGTACCATCAATCACTGCATCCTTTGCAACAGCCTGCAATCCCCTGATACGCCCGCCACACATGGTAGGGATAGGTCCAGGCAAGACAAACTCATTGTGCACCCTGGTATGTGCTGCTTTCAACTTTGTCTCTTTGCCATGTTTTGTGCCGGCACGTTGGCACGGCGGTTTTGCCCGCGTTTTGCGGTGTCTGCAGGTGCTTTCTGCATGGAAAGAGTGTATTCTTGCTTTCAAGTGCGCCATGTAATGTTCATGGCAACTAGCTGGGATTGTTTGCGCTTTGCACATTACCAAACAAGCAATCAGCACTGAGGTTGAGGCAGGAAAGTCCGTTGAGTCGTGTTGAGTCCGTTGAGCAGGAAAGCAGTACCGTAGTGTGCCAGTGCGCTTGTGACGGTACAGTAACAGCTGCAAAACCAATGCCCGCAATGCAGCCGCACAAGCTCTGATTACGGCCGGTCTGTTCATGTTTACCGCATAAGAATTTTCTGCAGCGATCTACAAATAACATATTGCCATTTTGAATGACGGCGTGATCTGACTGGATTCATGGATGGGGCGACGCTTGGTTGATCTTTGGACACATCATTCCAGACGCTGCGCGCTCGTATATCGCGTTGCTGGTCAGGGTGACTTTGTTGGTCACTTGCCTTTAGGTTGGCGGGCGCCGAAACAGTGCAGTGTCACAGCACCACCACACGCTCGCCGCTGCATCAACATGGCAGCACAGGTGAGCCTGCTATGGCAGCCCAATATTCAGGGCCTCGACGCTTGAGCGAAGGAAATCGGCCTGTAGGGTGTTGGGGGTGACAGCATGGATGGCAGGGTCCGCACCAGGGTCCGTACCTGTTTGCTTGCCATGCAGCGCCTTCACACATGGTTGCAGGTTCACTTACTGTGCTACGCACACCGCCGGCATCTGCTGTTGCCCTCAGGGTGGCAGTAAATATGAATGGCAGGCAGGATGCCTTCCACAAGCAGATGCGGCAGTCGTATTTCCAGCAGCGGTGCGGGTCAACACCCCTGGTGGATGTGTATGCCTGCGGTAAACAACATGCACTGGCGGCTGTTGGCACCCTTCACCGCCTGACAACAGCACCAATCAACAGCAAGCATCTTGCCTTCTTCGAAGCAGCAGGTGTCCCTTGATGTAGCATGTTGTGGCCCGCACACCAGGCATCGCTGCACGCGCCTTCCCACGATACTGTTCACGCTCACCACCCCTCGCCGTGGCCCCATCCAGGACACCAACAAGCAGCCCATCCTGGCGGTGCTGCGTCGGCTCTTGCAGGATCACCGAGGGGCGCATGTCCTGGAGCTGGCCAGCGGCACAGGCCAGCATGTAGCCCACTTTGCGCGCGCGCTGCCGCAGCTGAGCTTCCAGCCAAGTGACCTCACCCCGGAGCTCTTTGACAGCATCGCTGCTCACTGCACCACCCTGCCAAACGTCCAGCCACCCGTGGTGCTGGATGCCACCTGGCCGCCAGAGTGCTGGGCTCAGAGACTGGGGCAGCAGACTGCCTCATTTGACTTGGTGCAGGTGGCCAACCTGACCCACATCGCACCCTGGGCGGCGACGGAGGGCCTGATTGCAGGCGCTGCCCTGGTGCTGCGGCCAGGCGGGCTGCTGTGCATATACGGGCCCTTCAAGCTGCAGGGCGTCTTCACCACTGCAAGCAACCGTGCGTTCCATGAACACCTTGAGGCGAGGTGAGCTGGCGGCAGACCGCGGGGTGCCTGTCTTGCGGGGCGGGTGACGTGCGGCCTTCTTCTCATTGCATCCAGCCCGCGGGCGACACGGCACCATCTTGGTCGCCCGTAACCGCTTCTCACCCCCAATCCTTGTTCCCACCCCCTGTCCGCCCTCAAGCAATCCTGAATGGGGGTACCGCGACACAGACACGATTGCGGACCTGGGCCGCAGCTACGGCTTCACACTGACGGCGATCCAGCCCATGCCGGCCAACAACTTCTTCCTCATCCTTGAGAAGGAAGCTGAGAAACAGGGTGACGCAGGGTGTGACAGCGCATGAATTCTACACATTGATTCAGCATGCTGGCGCCATTCAGACAGCCATTACGCCCAGCCAGCTGCATTTGAACTTGCTTCCTCCGCTGCTTTTTTGTACTGCTGATTTTGCATCGCGCTGCTGCCAGCAGCTGCCATACATGGCTTTAGCTCGTTGTAGGTGACTGGTGGCCCCAGTTGCTGTCTTTTTGAAAAATAACGCTCTCTTGTAGCGCACCGCCTGTGATTGTCGGCTGACACTCTGCCAAGGACGTGAGCGGTCCGCAGCCATCTACAACGAGTTGTTACACAGCCATGGATGCGCCAGCAGGTCCCGAGCGCTAGCCCGATTGCCTGGGTCGAAAGTCAGCATCCGGCCCAAGAAAGCAGCAAAGTCAGCGGCCTGGAGGCAGGAGCAAGGGGGGGTTTAGGGTTTACAGTTTAGGGTTAAACTTGGATATTGTCAGTTACAAAAACCTTTGTGAAGGCCACACTGCTGTGCTGGGTTTCCTGGCGTGTTCGCTTGGTTGCGTGAAGCACCCACCTGCTGGCGGTCCAGGGTGCCGCTCTCAGCCAAGCGCTGCTCAAGGGTGCGCCGTCCAGGCACCGGCTGTAGAAGCTCCCCGCGCTGGTCATAGAAGGCCGACGCGATTGGGCTGCGCTCCAGCATGTGCAGCGGCGGCGGCCCGAGCAGCCGCCGCATCAGTGCCAGGTGGGCCGCGTCTGCACGATGCTCCACACGCTGCCTGCGCTGGATTGACGATCCGCCATATGAACGCCAGCGCCAGGGGGACACAAGGGCTGCGCTGCCCTCTTCCCCATCTGAGTCAGCGAGTGCTGAAGTCTCATCGACCTCGGCTGCTGCTGCTACTGCTGCTGCTGCCTGGTCAAGGCCGCCAAAAAGGATGGTTCCCGTTGCCACCTCATACAGTGTGGCTCCCAGTGACCAGATGTCCCATGCTGCATTGATTGGTAGCTGCAGGACAGCCTGCATCACAGAACAGCAGGATTGGGTGAAGAGATGTTTGCTGAATACATGCTAAAAAAACGTACGGGAAGCCGAGAAAGGTTCCGATAAAGAGAAGGGGCAGCGGCGCCTGCGAAGCCAGAGATTGGTAACCGTCGGCGGCGGTGGTACCCAGCCTGTCATCTGATTTAGCTCGGGCCTACATGCGGGAAGAGAAGGTGAGATGAACGGCCGCACCTCTGGAGGGCTATAGGCTGGAGTCTCGTAGGGAGGCGCGCCCTTGGCCTCCCAACACAAGGCAGGCACCACGGCCCACGGTATAAATGCGGGGCGGACCCACCCCAGTGCCGGGATCAACGAGGCGGCACTACCGAGGTCTGTCAGCACCCAATGGGCAGAGCACATTTCTTGCAGCGACAGCGATCGCACAGCCCCACGTGACCTGCCATGGGCAGCTGGGGCGCGTCTAAAGAAGGGTTCGGCCAGCAGTATGTTGGAGGGCTTGATGTCGCGGTGGACAATACGCTGCTCCCTGCAGGGCCAACATAGAAGGGGGCGTAGTTGCAGGCGAAGGCCTGGCTGGTGTTTGCAGCATGCCCAACACAGCACGCCAACAGCCCGGCAGAAGTGTTTCCTAATGCATTGAGCAGATGGCCCATCGGCAGCCACCGCAAGCCATAGAAGCAAACAGTCGTTGCATAGCCTTGCAGACCCGTTGCTCCGCCTGAAGACTCCTCCAGAAACCCGCCCTCACCGGTGCAGCGCATCCAAAGCCAGCAGCGCCTGGAGGGCCAGGCCGCGCACCGCATGGAGGGGTAGCCCTCGGCGCTTGCTGACACCCCTGTAGGCCAGGACCTGTGCCGCAGTCTGGTGGAGCGGCGCCAAAGCAAGCACCACGCACGCCCATGGTCGCCCCATGTCTGACGATGTGGCGTGTGCCCTCCAGCTCTCCAGCATCCGCGTCCAGTGCGCATAACCAGCACTCTCAGGATGCTGGGCTGCTGCTGCTGCGAGCTGCTCGGTGAGTTGCTGCTCTTGCAAGGCAGCCTGCAGGCGAGCTGGCTCAGCGGCATCAATGACCTGCACAGGCCCGGGGGCGAGGGGAAATAGTGTTGCAGGCAGGTTGGGGGCAGACAGGTTGGAACCAATGCAGGGGAGCACTGCGGCGCTGGCTGCATCCTCTTCCGCTTACACGCGCCGTGCGGCCGCTCCAAATCTACCCACCCGCCCTGTCCTCACCTTCAACGCTGCCATCCCCCCCGCCGGCAGGTGCGAGACCAGCCAAACGCGCGACCTTGGGCCCCGGTGGACCTCGGCCCGCAGCCTGTATGCATGGCCCGGGCGAGGTGCTGCCACTAGGCTGCCTGCACGCAGATGCACCAGCTGTTGCGGCACGACCCCGGGGCACGCTGTGGAGGGGGCGTTGGCAACAACAGCAGCACGCAGGGCGTCAGCGAGCGATTATGGCTATTATGTTTTCATTGCAGCAACAACCTAGCATCAGCGGCATGGCCTAGGTGCCTAGGCTCAAGCCTCACCTGCAATCAGGTTCCACACTTCCTCGGCAGCAGACGGTGTTCCAGCCCTTGGGTGAAACACCTGGTCGCAGATCGAAACATGCAGTTGGACGTGCTGCTGCTGCTGTTGCTGCTCCAGCAGCAATGCTGGCACAGCAGCGCTGGCCCATTCCGTGTTGTTGAAATCCTCCACGTTCAGGCCCAGCATTAGAAGGGGTCCCTTAAGATAGGGATATGGCGCGCGATCGAGTCTGTCAAGTGCAGATCGCACTTGTGTTGCTCAGTTGAAGCGATCCATACCGTGATGTGTGTTTATACATACCTCACCGAGGCCACCGTCATTCAACCTGGGACGATGCGGCGTGGCAGTACGGTACAAGACACGACACTACCACAATACGTGACCGGCAACTGTTGTCGAGGTCACTGAATCACTTGGCACGGTTGCACCGAGTCTGGAGCTCCTGCTGGTCCTCTTGTGCGGACAGCTCGGAGGCTTCCGTTGTCAACATGTGAATCAGCAACTGACATTGTAATGAGCATGCACATGCCGAGCAATCCACACACACACTCATTTCTTGCCCACCTCCCCATTTGACATGCTTCCAGCAACACCTTCATACCCCTCATCCAGAGTCCTAAAAGCTTAGATTTCTTGATTCAGCATGTTTTCTGATGAAGTAAAATTACACATCAAAATATGCTGTGGCAGCCAGAGGGGCGAGCGTGAGTATCAGGGAATGACAGGACTCAGCGTTGCGGGGGCGTAGTGCAAACAGAGAGGCTCACACATGCCTTGGGACGCCGCCCGTACAACAACATTCCCTCATATCAATGTGCCACACTATTGGAGGTCACGGGTTGCTTCAGTGTGCGATGCGAGCTGCGCACGCATTGCATCAGCCCGTAATCATTTCTAGCAACTTTGTGACAAAACATCGCCCGCAGGAGACGAGGTGGGCGCCGCACGGCAGCCAGCGCGCGGTGGCATTCCGACGCTCATGCTGGTGGTGCACCACAACCTTGGGCGGCACTGCGGCGCCTAGGGCTCCTTCGGCTTGTCCAACAGCTGGCCCTGGATGTAGTCGATGGTCTGGTTGATGACCTTGGGGTCAGTGGGGATGCCCAGGTTGCCAAGGTAGGCGTGGGCGTCAAAGGCACCCAGCACCTTCTGCACGCTGGGCAGGCCCAGGTGGCTGATGTTGAAGGTGGGCAGGCCGTTCTTGTCGCGGGGCAGTTCAGACAGGTCCAGGGTTGGGATGAACTCGGACGCCTCGACGTTGGAGGCCGGCAGGTTGACGGTCACGGTCGGCACCTCGTGGGTCCCCTCCTCAATGCTCCAAGTGGGGAACTCAGGCTTCAGCGCCTTGATGATGGCTGGCTGCAGCAGCTTGGAGGTCTCGTCGATGTACTTGCGGACCTCCTTCACGTGCGCGCCCAGGTCAGGGACGTTCACGGTCACCTGAATAGTTCAAGGTTTGATTGTGAGGGGGGGAGTCAGTGGCAGCGATAGTTCACACGGTTGGCTTTCACATATGATTCTTCACCAAACCCATACTCAGCCAGGCATGCCGTGGCCACCCTTTGGTCACAAGAACGCCCCGCAGCACATGCACGACACTCATGATTTAATCATAAGCCGCGCAGACCTGTCCTGTGTGCCCCTGACCTCACTGCTGTGTCTCGACTCACCTTGGGCAAGTTGAAGCTCGGGGGCTCAAACAGCACGCCAATCTGGGAGAAGTTCCAGTTGTGTACGTCAATGAGGGGCCCGATGTCGGCCAGGCTGATGTTGGGCAAGGCAAAGTTCAGGCTGGGGAGATCGGGGCGCTTGAACAGGGGGCAGAGGGGGCCCTGGCACGTGCCCTTGTTGAAGCCAAACAGGCTGGAGGTGGCCTTGCAGTTGCAGACAGACCACCTGAG